AATAAACAAAATGAAACATGTCAAGTAAAAGTGAATTTCAAGACAACTTTGTTTATGCATAATTTAAACACATGCACACTAGCAGATTTTAAAAAAAACATCTGTTGAACACTCATAAACTGCAGACACACAGAAAAAGGCAGTAAATGCAGCTGTTGAAAGCAGGTAATTGGTGATTGCTTATCTTGTATAACCATTATTAGATAACAAACTACAATGCAGTTTTTAACTAGATGCTTAATCTTTCACAACATATGCAACACTTTTAGCTGACTGTAACAATGGAAAGAACTACTGAGAAGTATAAAATAAGTATGAAGTACCAAAATCCATAATCAGAATGATCATCAAGAAGTATGACAGAACAAATTCAACTAAAACACTTGAAAGAAGTGGACATGCAATCAAAATTACATGTAGAGCAGGTGGGTAAATTGTTCAAGCAGCTACAAAAAATCCAAGATTAACAGATAAAGAGTTACAAAAGATTTAGATGTAACAGACATAACAGTACACAAAAGAACTGTACAAAGTACATGCAAGCTAATTTTAAAGGAAACTCATAAAACCATCTAAAATTTGCCAAGAAATATTAACAGAAATCTAAAGCATTCTTTCACATAATTTTCTGGTCCAATGGGACTAAAACAGAACTTGTTCCCCCAATATGGACCAAAGTATGTTTGAACAAAAAGGGAAAGTCTTCAGTGAGGAACATCTTATATTTACAGTAAAACATGGAAGTAGTTTGACAATGACATGTGGGTGTGTGTTTTAGATGTATAAGGACCAAAGACATTAATGTGACTGAAGAGTGAACAAATGCAGGTATGTATAAAAAATTCTACAAAGTACAAAAACACCAATTGCTCGTAGAAGGATTTGAAGGTGGATTATCTTCCACTAAAACAATGATCCCAAGCATATGGTTGAGTCAACTCTGGAATTTTGAAGCAAATTGAAGATAAAAGTTGTGGAATGACTTTCATGTTCACCAGATCTCAATTCAATAGAAATGCACTGTACTGATCTGAAAAACACTGTAACCAAGCATTGTGTGTCCAATTTGCCTGTAATGAAGGGAATATGCAAGATAGAATGGGCCCAGATTTTTCCAACAAGATATAATTTACTGGTTGAGAATTATAAAAATCTCTGAAAGCTGTAATAAGAATAAAATGAAGCCACATAGACTATTAAAGCAGGGATGCAAACACTTTTGTTTTGCACAAATGATTAATACATTTTATACATTTTTGATTGAAGAAAATGTTTACTTCCAAAACATACTTACCTTTTCTCAGACTACAGCTAGAATCCCACATTTTATATGATTTGTCATCACTACTGGACAGGCCCCAACCAGATAGCCATGGTAGGAATTATAGGGCCATAGTCCCTGTATACCAAATTGGTGGCTTGGGCATTTGGACCATAATATATATATATATATATCTATACTTGTGAGTGGATCCCAACTTGTAGTCATAGATTGATATGTTCCGAGCCACCAAAATCACGATGAGAAAAGTAAGCAACACTGAAGTGGAAAAAACCCTCTCCTCAACCTGAAGAAGTCAGAAAGGCAACAGCCTTGAACGTGGAATGACGTGATCCTGTACACCATACTCCTATGGTCTGGAATTATGAATGCACATCTTCATAACACTTCAGGGTCCTAACTGGATATAACAAATGACTGGAAACCAAGTCGTCAGAGAGGTGAGGAATAGCAGACAGATGAACGGTGAGAATGATTTATCCCCTTCCCTGGCTGCCAGTGTCTTAGGTAAGAAGGATCTGTCTGGGTACAGAAGTATGTAGGTAGAATAATAAAGCATACTGTGCACATACAGTGTACACAAACCTGACAGGTGATGTCCAATGCCAGCAGCAACAAAAAATAAAATTTAAGGGAAAGGTGATACATGGGATAAGGCCTCAAACAGGTGTCAAGACAGAGCATGTAATACCACCTTAATATCCCAGTTAGATAATTGAAGATTTGAGATGAAGGACCTGAAATGACTTGAGGAGGCTGGAAGAGCTCTGGGGACTCAAAGAATTTCTGTCTCTTCAAGTATCTGAAGGTAGTCAATAAAGCCTCCTTATATAAGTCGAATGTAGAAAATACTAAAAGCCAGGTAAAAAAATGAGCTATGGTTAGTACATCTGGACCAAGTGGGTTCAATCTCCTCGTGAGACACCACTGTCAATATGTCTGCCATTTCCGTTGATACATGTCCATCGCAAGACTATGCAGAGACTGAGATAGATACATGGCAACCTTAGAAGTCAAAACCCAATTCTGTATGAAGGACTGCATAACGTCCATGCACAAAGCTTGAGCTTTGGGATAGCTGTGGGCATGATGTCAGATCATGGCTGCCTCAACAGAGATGGCCAAAGAGGAAGTTGAAGAGGTGAGCACTCTTGAAGAATCGGAAATCAAAGTTGAGCCAGCCAATCCAGTGCTATCAACAGAACACAACAAGGAGTTGACCAAACCATAGCTACAACTCTGGGTAACAGATGAATTGGTGAGAAGGAATAGAGGTACAATTCTGTCCAGTCCTGACTAATTGCATCGATCACCAATGCCTGAAGTTGAGGTACTGGAGACAAAAATTCCAGTAACTGAGTATTCCAATGAGTGGCAAATGCATCAATCATTGATGTCCTGAACCAAGAGTAAATCCAATGAAAAACCTTGGGATGTGGCATCCATTCAATTGGGAGAATCTGGTTGGGTCGAGACAATTGATCTGATATAAAATTCATCACCCCTAGAACATGGCAAGCTAGTAGGCTGATATGATGGGAGTGAGCCCAATAAAGAAGATCCAATGTTCAAAAACAAAGAGATTATGACGCAGTGCCCCCTTGATGGAAAATGTAAGACAACATCATGGAATTGCTGTAGTGAAGCATGATGATTTTCGCCTCAATAATTCCTGATCTTGAGACATTACCCTTTAAACAACAGGAAGTTCTAAAACACTGATGTGGAGGAAAGGCTTATTGTCAGTCCATAGGCCTTGGAACTCCTGACTGTTGAGATATGCACCCCATCCCTGAAGTGAGGCATCTGTGAAAAGATGGATCTTGGAAAGAGACGGTGGCAGAGGAACTCCTATCATAGTATTGCTCTGATCTAACCACCACTTGAGATTGAAGATGATGATCCTGCATAAGGATACAGGGTAATTCAGTGGATTGCTCTTTGTGATCCATTGGTCACATAACAACCACTGAAGGGATCTCATGTGTGTTCATCTCAAAGGAATGAGGAATTCAAGTGATTTCCACATCCCCAAAAAAGAAAGAACCAACTGTGCAGTGGGAGAAGTAGACCTAAGTAAGACTCTGAATGCCTGTTCCATAGCATGGAGCCCGGATGAGAGTTGGCTGAGTCTGACTGAGATACATGTTGAAAAAGACATCCAGATGGATGATATATTGTGTTGGAGTAAGAACAGATTTCTCAGCTCTAATAATAAAGCCTAGCTTGGTGGCTTCTGAAAGTAGAATCTGGGTCTGATGTTCTGCCATCTGACAAGATGGCACTAGCAATAACCAGTCATCCACATAATGATGTGTGCACAGGCCTACGGAATGGAGGTGATGAGAAAAAGCTCATATGGGAATGTGTAGATAGGCATTGGTGACATCAAACTTGGATATCCACAGTCCTGGCAAAAAAATGCTAACACAGAGTGAGGAATGAATCTATCGTGAACCTGGGAGGATCTAAGACTAAGCCTGTGTAGATAGTTAAAACTGTTACCTTCATTTATAACAAGCATAGAGTGCTAATACTTATGCATGTGACTGTATGTTACCACTTTTGCTATGGTATTTATGCTTTTCACGAGCCAGCGAAGAATAATTACAATTATACTTGTTATAAGACATTAGTATTAGGCCTATTTCATTTGAAACACTACATTCTTAATGTAGTCCCTTAAGACTTTTCAAGAATTAGAAGAGAGTATAATAATATCATTCCAACTACACTATATTTGTCATACCCGTTTTCGATTATGTGTTTCACTCAATTCAGAGCTCTTCAGTGTAGATCCACCCCATCTATCTATCAACATTCAATTCCAGCTGATCTGGAAACTTGTGTTATGTGTTATGCGTCTTTTATAAGCCAGTAAAGAATGATTACAATTATACTCATCATAAAACATTAGTATTAGGCCCTCAGGGCTTTTCAAGAACAAAAAGTGTGTATAATAATAGTTTTCCAACCACACTACATCTGTCACATCCATTGCTAATTATGCATTTTGCTCAATCCAGAGTTTTTCAGGCCAGCTGAGATATAACAAACACACACTAGGGACTAGATTAAGAATGTAGTGTTTAAAAATGTAATAGGCCTAATACTAGTAAGACACATAACTTAGTGAGGTTTAAAAATAGATGGACCTCAGTAAGTCTGCTGATAAAATCAGAAGCTTGTAAAGTTATATTTCATGCCTTGTCTCTATCAATATATATTGTTTGGATTTTCCTTTATAAAAATTAAATCCAGGGTTGCAGAAACCATGTTTTAATGTTGTATTTCCATCTTTTCACTATTCATGAAGCTTGAAATGCTGTAGTTTCAAAGAAGTACCATAACTGATGAGGGCCTAGCTCCTCAGACTGTTATGGTTGAGTCCCTTCTGTAAAATGCAGAGAATGCACCTAATCTGTGATGTTAGTTGTGTAGGGTGCTGTGATAGCACCAAGAATAACTAACAATCAAAAAGTGTACTACATAGTCAATAATATCAACATTGTTAATTCCATCTAATATTTTAAAATAATAGTAATAATTTAATATTACAAAATTAACTCCAAAACCTAGTGAGCACTAAGAACTGTTTGCTGACACTGAGCCTAATAATTAACAACAACTACCACCCAAAAGTAAAAACAATGTCATACCTAAATAAGAAAATAGACAAAGAAAACGTCACAATACAAATAAGATTTAGCATGGTTACCATTTCTTTAGTTTTACTCAGGGAAATCTCTTTTTCTTGGCCTCTTCTTTTTCGATTCTTTCTTTCAGCTTTCAAAAACTAAAACATGAAACACAGTTATTTAACTGGACATTGAACATCTTAGTAATCATCAGAATTTTTCATGCACAAGAAACCTTTTCTTCTAATTTCAAAGCACAGAAATAGTTATGCTTAAAAATTAGAAAATAAACTACCTTTTATCCATAACATTAGCATAATTAGAAATGCACAAGATAAAGGATAATACTTTATAGACAATCTAACAGGCATCAAAATAAATTGTTTTTTTTCTCTAAAGTTTAGTTCACTCTCATAGAACCTTTATCAGAACATTAATCTTGCTTTCTGAGACATGACTAAAACCATATATATAGTCAACAGATAAATAAAGTTTTTCATATTATTTCAGGCATGTATAAATCCACAAAATATAGATCCATATATAGGTGAAAACTGTGGCTCAGTAATATTTGATAATCTTATTACAGAAATAACTACAACCACAAATAAATGTATCTCAGATCAGTAATTATACATACAAATAAATAAATATTATCCTTTACATCAATAATGTTTAGCCAAAATAATTAGTTTTGCAAGGAATAAAACTCAGTACATTTTCTAGAATAACATATTACAAACAATATACAAAAATTTCTTTCTACAGAAAGTAAATTAATCTTCACTAAGAATTGTATGAACAGTATATATTTTTAACCAGCTGTCTACAAAATAACAGGTTATTTTTGTAGAAGAGAAATTCACCTTCATGAGAGGCATTGTGGAACCACCAAGTACTAAAATGGTAAACAACACTATTATTAATGTTGTGGTCACCATCACATGACGTTTTTCATTTTCAAACTCCAAGTGCAGTGCCAAGGCATAGGCAATCGCTCCTCGTAATCCTGTGAATAAACAAATAATTCATAATTATTTGCTCACTTAACAAATAAAGATATGAACGAATGTTAATAGGGAGCTTCTCATTCAAAACATTTTTGACATAATAACATGCAAGTTTTTATACAGTCTTTTAAGTAATACAAATTCCTAAATGAGGGAAAAATAAACAGAATTGTTAAAAAAGAAACACTGTAATAGTATACCAACTGGACAAATTTGGCAAGAAAAAACAATATTTTTTAACAATACTACTGTCGTAAGCATCTTCTCCAAAACATTCACAATAATATTGAGCTTTTTAATTAAGTAAAACTACCCTGTAGTCAGCAATGGTCAAAAGCAATAAGCCTTGGGCAAACAATCATGTAAAAATTCAGCAAGATGGGGGAGAATAGGACAGGAAGGGGATAAATCATGACTTAGAGACAAACTACAGAATGTGTGCCACCTTCATGGATAGACACAGAGGGAGGAAGAATGAATGAATGAGAAATAAGGAATGTGAAAAGTCTGGAACATCTTGCAAGAGACCAGAAAAAACCCACACATGAAGCTGAATGGGAGAGAGAGAGGAGTGAGGTTAAAGGAACAGTGAGTGTGACAGGGGTAGAAGAAGGGATGAAGTGAACTGGAAGAGGTTCAATAAAGGAAACTACAGCGAGACCAGCCAGAGTAGAGCTAGTAAGAGGACTCGACACAGAGTGATAGGAATGAGTAAAAGCACTCAAGAGAGAAGACGAATAGGAGGGTAGCCATAGAGAAAAAGGTTGTACCAGTTGTGACTGAATGCATTTACAGCAAGAGCTGAGGGAAGAGAAACTGGGGAAGTATGGTGTTGAGACAAGTGGAAAAAGCATCTGGAAGAGGAGTGCCCAGACAAGAGCCCAGTTACAGGAATACCTGAAGATTGAGGGACCACTCCATAGGTAGTATCTTGTCGTGCCTGAAAAGGCACCCAGAAAATGGCAAGCTATTAGATGCATAGGTATAGAACAGGTACAAAAAAAGAGTTCAAGAGTGTGGAAGCAGAGGGAGAAAGACCAAGTGCCACCCTGGTGATTGATTTAGGAGACAACAGCAGACTTGGCTGTAGGAATCATCACTATATATCCACAAACTATTATAAGAATATGATTAATAGTCCAACATACCATCAAAAGCTCTAAGGGAGTGATATGAAGGGATGAATCATCGTGAGACCACTAACACAAAATCACTTGAGATTCGAGACATGCTCTCCTTCATCAAGGAAACATCTGAAAACAGATGGTATTAGGTATATCAAGTCATCAGGTGAAGTCTTTGAGCATGGAAGGAAGAAGCAAAATGTTGGAGGAAAAGGGAACCCAAGAAAGGAGCTAGTAATCTTGCAGAGTTCACTGTAGACACTGCAAAAGAGCATGATCTAAGGGAATACGAGTTTCCATGGAAGCCCAAGTCCCCAAAAAAGAAAGAACCTTCTGCACAGTTAGAGAAAGAGAGGAGAGGGCAAGGGAAACTAAACATTCCACATCCTTCAAAAGAAGAGAAAGCTGGGCCTGTGGAGATACAAATTGAGAAATACCCAAATAAATGAGAAACTAAAAAGGTGTGAGATGTGACACCTCCACATTGACCAACCAGCCCAGACTCATCACTTCATGAAGGAGGAAAAGACAATGGATGTTGGGACAAAGCCAAATAGGAAAAGAAACATCTGAGAAGTCCTCCTTAGTCATCCCAAGACCTGGGGACAAAGACCACCATAGGGTGAGAAATGTTCCCATGGTAAATCAAGGGATGTTTAGAAACCGACTGATACCGGATGCCATGAAAAACCATGAATAAATCCATTCAATAGTCTTTAGCCATTAGCTACAACACTGCCATAGACATTGGCAAGAAACAAGATCTCTTGGAGGAGGGAAGTAACAGGAACATGAAATAATGGAAGAGAATAGAAAAAAACGAGGGATAAGTCTCACTGACAAAAATCCCAGTAATGCACAATTGGATGCAAATGGATAGCAAAGGTAAACCTATTTAAACAGGACCCACTGAACTTGAGCCCATAGGATAGTCACCACCAAGACTGACAGCACTGAAGTTGACGAGCAGTGGGAGGATAGTTGGGAGCAGAGGAGTGAGAAATGCTGAGAGAGAGAGAAGAGGAAGCAGGAGGAAAGGAGATAGAGAAAGAGAAGAAGAGAAGGAGCATGGGAGAGGCAGTAAACCAGTGAGCATAATGAAGAACATTGGCATGTGGCCCCAACATATGACCCCAGAGAAACAAGCACCCCAGTAGAATCACACAGGCAGATGAAAGGAGCCAGATGAAAGCATATGAAAGAAAAGGGAGGAAATAAGGACTTGAGTAACAAGGGCATTGTGCCCCAACAAACTCTAGCAACAGATTAACCAATATGAAGAGGTAAGGTTGAGAAAGATAAACACGCCACAGTAGAGAAGGTATGTGAATAAGAATCCACCAAAAATCCTGTCAAGGGAATGGTGGATTACCATGGAAAGAAGGTGAATGGATGAAAAATAACAGAAAAGAGTAGAGAGTACAAGACAAAGATGGGAAAACGTAAGTATAAGAAAAGATAAACAAGAGACAAATGATCAAACCCTCAAGTCTGAAAAACTTCAGAGTTTAGGATTCCATGAATGGCAATACAACAAGAAATTGGACTTAATCATATGAGGTAAAAAGGAAAGAAGAAGAATGAGGCATGCATGAATCAAAGTGGTGGTAAAAGTAATTGAATACAGACTATCATATTTGGAGAGAAAGTAAAAGTAAAAAAAAACAATACCTAAAAAACCTAGTTCTGAAATTATAAAAAAGCTTAGGTAGGTACTAGATAGCATGGGTATAAGATTAGGAAAAGATTGATAGTGGGAAAAAATGTCAAAATCCCTTCTGTCATAGGTGGAGGTATATAAGGTATAAGAGAAGGCCAGGCCACATGAACACTCCACTACTCACAGCACAAAAGCTGTCAGTTCTCCCAACAGACAAAGACAAACCTGGCACCAATGTAGGTGTGAGATTAGTGTGAACAATGTTCTTGTTTTCTCATGCCAAACAAATTGGAAGTTACTGATACTAATGTAGAAATAAAAGGCCACAAAATCTGTAGGTGCAGAAAAATGTTTGAAAGCGAAAATCCAACAATAAACACTTCCACAACAGGCAATACTTCCACTTAAAAAATGCCTATTTCTAAAAAGTTCACAAGCAAAAAAAGAAAGACACATTGTCACACACAATTGCCAAATTAAGATGATTGTGGTCTACAGTATAGAGGGAGTCAGCTGCACTAGGAGGGTGTGTTGCACTCTGATTGGTGGAAGGTCATCGCATGCTCATTTGCTGCTATATCACATGTAGACACATAATGTTAAGTGGGAACTTCAAGGCTAGTGGTGAGCCTCGATTGTGCTGCCCCCTATATGCACAATGTTGGCATATACTATGTGAATGGAGGTAAAGTATCGTATCAAAAGCCAAAGCCATAAGTTTGTTTAAATACTGTATTATTTGTTTGTTATTCTAGAGCAAAGCCTTATTGAGCTATCTGCTGTGTCCGCTACTGGGAATGAAACCCTGAATTTAGTGTTGTAAGTCCGCAGACTTACTGCTGTCTCATTCGGAGACATAAATACTGTAACTAGAGTGATTTAAGTTAGTGTAGTAATTTTAGTTCGATAACTTTTTTATCTCTAGAAGGAAAGCAAACTTCAACAAATGGATGCATTGGATTTGGATATTTCAGGTGAACATATAATATTTCAACATTGTTATTAACCAAAAATTCATCAAATTTTTACTCTTAGAAATATCCTAAGTCTAAAGAAAATCTAGTGAGTTAAACACAAACAATAAATCATTTATTATAATTACTATGCATTAAAGTTATACTGACCACTAAACCACATAATAAACATCATTTTCTTGGTAATCTTGTGTTCTCTGAAGTAATTCATCAGGAAAGATAATGGGAAAATATTAGCTCCTCTGCCAATCAATATCAGCACCTATAAAAAAACACACTAGATACATATCTGCAAAAAATTATCATAAACACAAACTAACTCACAAAACATGTCTTAAGCTAGCAATATTTATCACATCTTTGAATAAAACTTCTCTGCAAAGTGAATAGGATCAGTGTAGGACAAAGTGAAAATTAATGTGAATTCTTGTAATTGTATTTGGGGGGGGGGGGGTATATTAGAACTAAGACCAACATTTGTCACTGTATACTGGCTAATTGAAAGAAAACATTTTATATTTTTGAAGGTATCTTAATCACCTCATGGGGTTTAAAAGATGTCATTATTTCCAAAAGTCATATTATGTTATCGCGATAATTAATATCAAATATTTAAGTGAAAGATCCAAGAAATTGTGGGACCAGAATTGAGCCCATGACTAATGGCTAAAAGGCCAATACTCTGAACTACTCAAGAGTCTGTAGAATTGTGTATGCTTTGTTCAAAATATTTGAACACTAACTTTTATGTATGCAAATAGGATCCTCAGGTAGACTTCTATTTGCATTATTCTAAACCTAGAGAGAGAATACATTTTCAAAACAACATCTTTCTAATGTATTAAATACTAAAGAAGAAAAGTACAAAAAACTTTTATTACTGAGTGTCAGATTTACTTACAATGCTCCAAATCACGAGAGATGGTTTCACAATATGACGGAAACTAAAAATGGCAAGACCCAAGTAGGCAAACACTGAAGTTTCTGAAATACGGAAAAAAAAAAACTTGTATATTTGAAAATAGTAATATATTCTTGAGAAAATACAATCTTTTCAGCATTTTAAAATATCATAACAACTAAATATATCACAAAAAACAAACAAAAACATACCAGCTATAAATGCAAGAGTTCTCAGGGTTTGCTGCATGGTGATCTGAGTTACAGGAGACAAATTAAAATGAGTGTAGTGGGACATAACTACTCCATTGAAAAGGATTGCCATTATTCCTGTTCAAAGAAATTACTGTATTAAAACACTTTTCTCTTAATTAAGCTTTTCAGTAATAAAATAATCTGCAAATTCTATCTATCCACAAAACTAACCATATTAATAGCTCTTAATTCAATAATGAACTAAACTGCTCTTATTACTGTCAATTAACAACAGTAACCTTATTAACAACTAATAAATCAGTAATGAATTAAAATGTTGATACTGTCTATCAACAACAGTAGCGTAGTTAATAACTCATATGTCTATAATGAATCAATTTGCTCATACTGTCTATCAACAACAGTAGTCTGATTAATAACTCATAAATCAGTAATTAATTAACCTGCTGATACTGTCTATCCACAACACTAATCGTATTAATAGCCCTTAATTCAATAATGAACTAAACTGCTCTTATTACTGTCAATTAACAACAGTAACTTTATTAATAACTAATAAATCAGTAATGAATTAAAATGCTGATACTGTCTATCAACAACAGTAGCCTAGTTAATAACTCATGTATCCATAATGAATCAATTTAACATAACATATAACATAATATTTTGGGACAACATGGGACCTATTGGTCCATCTTGGCTGTTCCATCCTCAAAACTAAATTAAAATGATTGAAAATAATAATAATAATAAAATTTTAAAACCAACCCTTTTCATTCATATACTTATCAAGCTTTTTCTTAAACCCACTTAAATTAACTGCCTCTACGACATCTGAAGGCAACCAATACCAAAGGCCAACACCCTGTTAGAAAAATGAAACTGTCTTAGCTGAAGATGACTCCTACCTTTCCAAAATTTATATTTGTGGCCTTTACTATTCTCATTGTTAAATGTAAAAAAAGATGATACATCAACACTATCAATTCCCTTTACAATCTTAAACACCTCAATCAGATCTCCCCTAACACTTCTTTTTTCAAGAGAAAACAAGTTGAGAGATTTCAGCCTCTCATCGTATGACAACCCCTCCATCCCAGGCACCATTCTAGTAATCCTTCTCTGAACCCTTTCCAACAATTCAATGTCTTTCCTAAGGTAAGGAGCCCAAGAATAAACACTATATTCCAAATGTGGCCTAATCAGTGTACAATGAAAGTATAACCTCTTTAGACC